TTCAAAGGGACACTTTGTTAAGAGTTAGCGATTTTGTGTGCAATTTAAAGGCATGTGGGGAGAATGACAATGACTCCTCAGAGGCAGCTTCTATAAAATGAAGGGAAAAAAATGAGGGTGTGAGCACAAGAAGCTGTTACACAAAGCTGGAAGGCAGGAAGAAAGCAGCAGATTTTCTGTGGCTACAGAACAAGAAAATAGTCCTTGCCTTCGATCCAACTAAACACATACTTAAAGAAGAGCTGTTCGTGGAGTTATACAACGATTACAAAGAAATAACTCATTAGCACTGAGAAAAAGCCAAGCTGTAGTTGAAGATATGGGAGGAAAAAAAGCAGCAATGGTTTTGTAATCAATTGGTAGAGCTCATGGCTTAATTGATTACATAGTAAAAATTTAATCTTATTGCATAGTAAAATATTCTAAGAGCAAACATCTGACCATGAAATATTTCATTTGGAGACAATATTTGTAAAAATTTTCTGATGTTGTTCTTTCAGCTGTATTGCAGTAGGGTTTAGGGCTTGATCAGATACTGGACTACACAAGAACAGCCTCCTCCAAATCTAATTATTAATGACATTACTGAATCCAACCAGATGTTTCACATGGGTAAAGTTAAGTACATGAATAAATCAAGATCCAAGCATACATTTAGATTTGACAGAAGATAAGGACGGGTGAAACAAAAAATAATGAAGACAGTTGATGAAAGATTATATATTTCTGGTTGTTAGTAGGAGTTGAAATTAAAAATACAAAGTATAATAGGCCTGGTGTATTACCACACTGCTGATGGAGAGAAGAGCAGGATGTTTCTCACATCATCATATTGCCTACTAGCTTCTATCTGGTTAAGTTTCAGTCAGCTTAAGTATTAAACCTTTATGGCTTCCCAAAGGCAATTACATGAGAGATAAATAAACTCTCATGTACAAAACATAGCTAATGAGCTGAGCTACATTTCTATTAATTACGTGAGAACTTCAAATATAATCCAAATGGAAAGTCATGTAAATGGAAAGCACTGTGTGTGTTTTAAATGATGCACTTGTGCTCTAAATAACTGTTAAAATTGGAAGACCTTTGTATCTACTCAGCTGCAAATCAAACACTAGATAAGTTTAGAATTGTAAGAACAAAGGGAGAAGGTATTAAGAAATAAAATTCTCTAATCAGGAAAAAAAAATTCAATGAACATTGTAGCCATCAGCAGGTTATTCCAACAGAAGAATTAAACCTTGAGAAAAAGGCATTTCTATTAAAATACCAATCTCAGCCAATAATTGCAATTGTTCTTCTACAATAATTCATTTAAATAGTCAAGAACTAACTCAAAGTGTCTCTAGTGTTCTGCTGTTAAGTTTACCTGGACACACAGGCTGAGATGATGGCTGGCTTTGGATAAAGGTAGTGTAGGGAAAAATGTTGAACATGCAGTGTGCACTCCCTCTACTGGACACTGAGATTATCCTGAACAGGCATTGAGAGAAAGTAGTATGTCCAGGCATCCAGGTACTGCAAAATAAAAGGCTTTTATCGCTTCTGTGCTCTTTCCCCAGCTTCAGCTAAAACTCAGATACAGAGAAAATCAGATTTCAAAACTCTGGTTTATGTTTTCAAAATACATTTCCTGTTAGAAGTGAACACCTTATTCATGCCCTAAATAAATATTTTGCTATGATAAATAGGACCTCTGTAAGCACATAAGAACTCATTTGCCTTTGATCAATACATTGAGACTGCCACTGTCCATCCACCCCCCAGCCTCAATGAAGGAAGAAATGTGTTGATGACTTCTGGAGGCACAGCAATTGGAAAGAACATTTAGAAAATCTGCTGCAACGGATTTGTTTCCTCTTACGAGGAAATTGGCTGAGGGAACTGTGATTGTTCAGTCTGGAGGAGGCTCGGGGGAGACCATATTGCTCTGCAACTAATTGAAGGGAGGCTGCAGCAAAGTGGGGGTCAGCCTCTTCTCCTGCGTAACCAGTGATGGGACTGAAGGGGACAGCCTCCAGTTGCAGCAGGACCGATTCAGGTTAGACATTAGGAATAGCAACTTCTCTGAAAAAGTGGTCAGGCAATGGAACAGGCTGCCCAGGGAGGTGGTGGAGTCACCAACCTTGGGGGTTGTTCAAGAAAGAACCATTTAGATGTTGTACTAAGGGAAAAGTTTGGTGGGAAATATTGGTGATAGGTGGGCAGTCGGACAGGGTGATATTGGAGGTCTTTTCCAACATTGGTGATTCTGTGATTCTAGACAGTCAATGGATAACTTTGTTATTCTTTTTCCTCTCCTCCCACAGCTCTTGAAAGGTATGAACAGAAGAATGCCATTGTCCTTCTGTCGGCAGGCTTTAAAAGCACTCTTTCTACGGTTTAGGCTTTCTGCACACGGAGCAGAAAAAGATAACAATATCCATGTCACGATAATCTATTTCAAGCCAGAGCATTTCTCTGCATGAAGCTTTCCTACAAATGACTTCATAGAAAAGAAGTTCCATAAAATTACAAAAAGATACCCCATAGTCTGCAAAGCCGTGGGGCTTCATATTTTTTCCAGAGATAAAGAGAATCTCTCACAAAAACCCTGCACTCATCAACTTCCTTGATTTCAAGATGAGGGTGGGAAATGCCTTTCCCTGCCACTCCCTTCAAACTAAACCCCGAGAAGGCAGGAGGCATTCTAGCACAAGGAGGGACAGAACAGAAAGAAAGTATGGTACAAGAAATGAAAAGGAAGGCAAAGACTGAGCACAAATCAAAAAACAAGATCTGAGGAGACTGAGCAAGCCCAGGTCCTCAGCCAACTTCCCAAGTCCCTCTTGATCTGTTTTATACTTTCTGGTAAAACAAAACCACGTTCTCACTGAAGATAAGGCCTGCCTGTGGTTCAGTATCATAATTATACTCCAAGATTTGTTGCCCAGTAGTGAACTTGCCCATGTGTACTTGCAATCAGCAGTTACCAGGAAAACTGATACCGTATCAAAACGCAGAGTTATTACAGAGCGACTGCAAACCAGACAACTAACATGGGACCCTCTGTGCTCAGACATTTCATCTGCTTGCTGTCCCTGCTTATAAAACGCTCCCCTTCATTTCTAAACAAGCATCTCTACACACGCGCAGGTCTACAGCACTCACTGACTTCACAGGTTGACAATCCCCACTTGTGAAGCACTGAGCTCTGTCAGGCTAGGATGGCTGCGAGCCAGAGCTCCGCTGTCAGTGCTTCTTCACTTGCATCTAAAAATACAGCAATCTAAAAGTACAGCAAAACCACAGCATGGCAAGAACTACAGTTCTACTAACACAAGGACATGCAGCCAGAAGGAGCAATATGTAATGTAAGCAACAATGCTGGATTAAGAAGGAGCTGAGTGTAATATTTCATATGCTGGCACGTAAATACTTGACAGATTGGGAGCTAATAATCACAGCCTAAGAAGAAAATAAGCAACAGCGTTTCTATCAGTCTCTCCCTTTACCACGTTTATAAGTTTCAAACAACTCAATTGTCACGTGATGAAAAGAGAATTTAAACAATTTCATTCTACAGCACACAGCTCTCTTTTTTCAGGTTACAAATTAAATTAAATCAGCACTAAAATGAAATTTGGGTATTTTCCACTGGGAAAGAAAATAAAACCAATTACATGTAATTTTCAGTGCATAAGTTAATACCTCAACAAACACTGCTTCATTCTGAATGTACTCGTTGTGAATACTGCTATGCATTCTCCTTTATTTCTGCAGTTGTAATGGTACAATTTATTATCTTTCAACCCTACATAGATAGCATTGATCAATCTCCAGAAGTGGTAACATACCACTTTAAACACATACACATGTACACACACACACGCACACAAAAAGCAAGGCTTGAACGTCCTTTATACCTTGCAAGAAATATTGCAACCAATATTCCACGCAGAGGTACAGCAAATGAAGTCCTGTCAAGCAAATGGCAGGAATGACAGCAGATGTCTGGATTCCTTCATAGCTGGTTGCATTAAGGTAGCACACATATTTCACTGAGGGAAAAAATAACCCTGACAAGACAGTCTTACAGTACTTTCCATTCATAGTTGACATTTTTGACTGACGTGGTACGTCAGTAGTACTAAGATGACGAACCAAATTAATCTTAATAAGGCTTCATTTGCACAAGGAAAGCAAAGTCTGCAACACTCAGTCATGGCTAAACCAGGATACTACAGTTTAATCCAAGGTATAACATCTGGATCAAATTCTTACAATCCAGTCATAAACCACGGCTCAAAACATTATTTGTGTGTTAAACTCCACAATAATTTAGCTGGATCTCAAGCAGCATAAAGGAGCATTGTGGAGCTTTGCTTTAGATACATAAACATGATATAGACTCCTTTTAGAAGTCTGGACTGGATTTGAGTAAAGCATTTGATCTTTCAGCCTCCATTTATTCATTAGCTTTGCCTGTTTCCCAGAATCTGTCATCTTCTGACACTTTAAAGCTTTATAAAACAACTAATTCTTTCAAGATGTCCTTAGTCATGCTACTTGCCTACTATAGGAAGTAAACACTACAAAGCAGAAATGTTGCTTTTGTAACTGTAGACACTAGCAAAGTTCTGTATGTCATAAAAGAACAACAGCTACACAGCATTTCCTGAGAAATATGTATCTGCACAAAGGAAGATGAGGACATAATGTTGCATATGAAGAAACTAAGAGTAAATAAAATCCAAGCCTAACCTTATCCAACCAACCTTATACAATGCTACCCAATAAAAACCAACAGCGCTACCTTACATGGCTTTGCCTAAGAACAGCTCCTGATTATAGTAGGTTCTCAGCTCAACTTCTTTAGCTGATGAATTTGTGAATAAATTAAACCTGCATTGAAAAGTTTGCCAGAATGAGGTTTAAGAAAGAGTGCGTTTTTGTATACAAGCCAAATAGCCACATATTACTAACAGTCCTCTCCAGTAAGTGAAGTTTCAAAAACTCACCACTTTTCTTTTTCTCTCTTTAAAAGTAATGTTCATTTCCTTGTATTTCCTCAGAGCAGCCTCCAGTTTATTCTTCAGATCAATGGCACATCTCAACCGATCGTCGTTTATTCCTGCTCGGGTAAATAACTGCAAAGCAAAACATCTACATTCTTATTCTTTTTCTATCACCTGAGCAAAAAGCACTTGTTTATTTGTTGTCTCACATAAGGCAGAGGAAAAATGTCACAAATTCTTTTATTTTACACGTAACAATTTGTCAATGCATTTCTTTCCCCAACCAGAATTTAAGACCTAAAAGCAACCACTGAAGACGAATAACAAATGAGCAGTTGCTATAAACATCTCCTAATAATGCCCTCTGGCAGGCCATATTTCTTGCACGAGGCTCCTGCAAATATCAACTGGCAGAAAAGGCAGTGTTCAGATGCAGACATGTCTGATGAAATCATACCAAGTTTTACTTAAATACTTTGTGAAGAAGCTGTATTTTCTTAGATGCCTACTTTTTTTTTTATTTTAATGTGTCTGCAGGCAGCACACCGAGCACTGAGCCATCAAACAACCTCTGTAGCTCCTGCAGTCTCCTTCTGTACATCCCTATGGAACCAGCAACCTTCTTTTCTATTTGCACCAATGTTTCTCTCAACCTTAATTTCTTTCCTCTCTCTCTTTCTCTCAAGCCTCCCAGCACCTAGTCCATCTTTTCACGGAAATGAAGAAATTAGGTCTTTACCCCACCTGAATCCAGGACTGCACGGAAGGCAAGAACTTATTTCTGACGAGTTTGTGAGCATCCACAACACTGTTTATTACAGCAGTATTGTCTTCGTTCTCATGCACTTTGATATCTGCTCCAATAAAGGAAAACAACAGTTAGTTGTAACCAAGTAGCCAGGATACTGTAAACACTGAGTAGAAGTACCCGTTAACCTCTCTAAAGTATTTTACATAAAGCATAAAAATATAAGTAACACATATTATTATATAATTGTACATGAAGCATTTTTTCTAAACTATTTGATGTTGATTATTATATATTCTGTTATCCACATTCAAAAAGGAAAAGATGAAAAGCTTTCAGTTCAGTGATGACAAGGATTTGTTACGCCATTACACAAAGTAAACCAAAACCAGTGCAGTTTTACTATTTACATTGCATCTTGTCCTTGTTCCAATAAATGAACCAGGCCCTAATGGACCAGTTCGTGCTTATTCAATATGAAATGTTCCTAGGGCCTCCATCCCAAAAGGGGTTGACTGTCGAAGAAGCCAAGTCTGCCACCACACAAGTAAGAATGGCAAATGGTATTTTGCACCAGTTCGATGCTCATAAGCCCCAAGGGTAACTTCCAATTCTGTTGCTTGCAAGCAAAGTAGACAGCTATCTCACCAGCCTCATGCACTTGAAATTCCAATCAGACAGTATTTGTAAGAGATTTCATTTGGAAAAAAGTGAAAAGCCCTAAATACTCAGACTTTTTCTATCTGCAATTCTTATTAACAAAGTTAGATAGAAAGGTCTAATCATAACTCTTAAGGTAAAACTCTGCTGTTTCCTGCAAGTTGTCAATAACAAAGATTAAGAAACAGCCAATATTAATATGTTTAAATCAGTAGCTTTTACCCATGTTACAATGAGAAAGAAGGAAGTGCTGAAATAAAATCCTATATACAGTAAGTAAATCATTTTGTTTCTAAACACAGGAAAATCATACGTACTATGAAGTGTAGTAATGTGTTTACAACTAATACAAACATTCAGTTTCAGAAATTAATGAAATCTGTAAATCCCATACAAGAACATCCAAAACTAAGAAAGGCTGCTAAATGGGGCAGAAATAGAAAGGAAGGCCAAAATAAATCAAAATGATGCCCAGGGACCCCAAATGCTGAAGTCACAGCAAAAACAAACAAGCAAAGGAAAAAAAAAAACAAAAAACTACAAAGCATTGCAAAGATTATCCCCAGCTCTTTGTGAAAACTTGGTGCAGGTACCTGTAGAGAGTTCAAGGTCTAGAGTATACTTATGAGAAATCAGTCCGTGATTCCTGACAAAAGTTTCATAATCATCATCACCAAGAACAGGAACACCAGTTTCAACCTCAGAGCACGTGTCTCCATCTAATACATTTTGCTCAGGCTTCTTCTGTTTGTCACCTAACTCTTCGTTTTGATCCATTCTGACACACTGAGAAACAGGAAGAATGTCCTTGCTACAGCACGGCTGTTCATCATCCACACATCCCACACACGAGGACAAGGAGGATGCAGATCTATCCTTGTCAGCACTCGTTTGTTCATTGGGTTCCAGTCCTGTGTTGCTCACAGTGAAGTCAAAAGGATCTGGCAACAGAAGCCGGAAACAGTTCTCCATCTCTGTCAGTGTCTCAGCAACCTCTTGGGACAGTTCTATCAAGAGAGAGTTGTTTCAGAACTTTGTGAAACAGTGTGCAGGGCTGAATCCTGAGCACAGGTATATCTACAAAACAAACATACTGCCAAAGAATCCATTTGTCCAGTAATCAGTCACAGTTTATCCACACATTTATTTCCAGTGCAGGGACGGTCCTCAAAAGAGAGTCAATACTTCTCTTAAACAGGATCTCTAGAACTTCCTGAACAACAAATTTAGGACCAGCATTCTTCCCTTCCTATCCTCCCTAAAATTTCACTGTCTATCAAAGGTGACTCAAATACTTCAATAAATTCGAAGCAGAACAGTACTGGTAAGAAACAAGGTATCCTTGGTAATGCCACTGGGTGCTCATTCTGCAGCCACAAATGTTACAGCTGTTTGCAGGTGCACCAGTGAATATATGCCATAGCTAAGAGATGCTATCAGTAAAGCTGACTTTAAAAGGTTAAATCTCTTTTTTCCATGTGTGAAAACATTTGCACCATGTAGAATAAAGGCAGACACAAATGCATTCATTGCACAAACTGAAGCAATTGAGATAAATAATCCTTCCCAACTGCAACTTAGTTATATAATCATAGTTACACTACGTCTGTTCTTAAATACGGCAGGAATATGTTGGCTGTGTACATGTTCAGAGATTGAGCTCCCAGCAACATAACACTTCTCACAGATTTCCCATACTGCATCTAGGATTGCTGCGCAGACTTGTGCCCAAACTCCTGGAACATACATGATGCATATACAGTATAACTGAGGTCATCAGTCAAGAAGCCTGTACCTAACCATAGACACAGTAATTTAGCCACGAGATCCAGAACTGCTTCTGATATCAGAGTATATCCCAAATTCAAAGAGACTCATAAGGATCACCAAGTCCAACTTCATACATGTGCATGAAGGTATGCATTCACACCTGATGAATTACTGACCAGACATTTATAAGTTGTTTTTTTTTTTATATCTCCCCATTCTACTTGAGCTTTATGGGACCTGTTACTCATTTGCCTTGACATTCTTTAGGTGAGAGACAGAGTGAAGCACTAACAAATGTACTATTCCTGTACACTGAGGTTTGCTCTTATTTGGATATCTATTCTGCTGGAATTTGGTTTATACAACCTTACAAAAAATTGCTTTAACAACAAACCCACCCAAGTCAAAGCACATCACCTGCCATTTCTTTTTCAGCTCTTTTGGCTTTTTCTTTGTAAACGTTATCCAATCGTTTTTGCTTCTCTTCTTCCCTTTTCCTTTCAGCCACTGTTCTTGCATGCACGTCCTGAAAATCCACCTAAGGAAACGAAGAAAAAAGTACAACATTCTCTGTAAGAAGTACATAGAAAATCCATTTCCTAAGATCCTTATCAGTGGTGAAAAATCCTCTAACGTAAGCAATCATCCAGAAGCTCAGCAGTACTTCCTTTTATCTCCTCTCCTCCTGAAATCAATAACTACAGAAATTCTGAATGGAGGTTTTATTTCTACTAATAAGGGACTGCTGAAAATCAATGGCTTTTTTTTTTTTTTAATTATTTGTTGGATCCATTGACTGAGGGAAAGGATATCATTCAGTCTCACTTTCTTATGACTAAAACATAAACATAAATCTGAGTGATGCAAAACAGTTTCTTTTAAAATTGTAGGTCTTTTTTTTTTCTTAGAAGGGTTTGAAAATCTATTTTCACTTCTATTTTAAGGAAACGAATCCTGCGTTGTGCTATTCCATAAGAAAAATCACTTGAAAAGAACATGTAGTTATTTCCTTTTGACTGCTTTCATTAATTTCATAATGGATTACACTGAGGGCTGAGTGAGCCCATCCTTTGCTGCTTATAAAGGCTGCACCCTCTGTGCACTGTGCCTGTATTACAAGCACCCACTGAACATTTGTCTTTATTGTCACTGCTAGATGAGCCACCTCTCAGAAACTTGGTCAGAACAGAGCATATCTAAGAACCTCATTCAGACAACACAGAGGGACACTACTCAGCTCCAGTGCTGGAGCAAGATGTATGGAGCCTTTCACTATTATTCTGTAATGAACATTGGAGCTGGATGTGACGAGGTGCAAACAACTCTTCTTGATTTAAAAGGTGTAAGACTAGTGAGCCTACACAGCAATAAACACTGCAACTTTGGGGAAATACTGGAATTCAGCATTGATACTCTCAGTCTATCAAAGTCACATTCAGTTTATAATTCACACTTAATCTGCAACCCCATCTGTGCCTTCCCAGAATCAAAAAAATACTGCTGAAAATACTTATGTGTGCATACATATATATTTCTTCTTGCTTCATTTTTGAAATTTGACACAGGGATTTGTTAAAAAAAAAACAACAAAAGAAACTACCACAAAGTTGCTTTCTGATATGCCGAAATATGTTTTGTTCTTAAAGTCAGACCTTTATACAGGTATAACTTCAGTTTACTAAGAATAAACCAGTAGGTTGTTTTCTGAGTATATACCTTAGAAGGGCTGCAGTTGTCATCTTCTGACCAACTTTGATGATGATAATCTGAAAAGTAAGACTCTAACAGTCCTCACACTGCTCCATACTGTGCCAGAGCTGTAACATCAAACAGCAGATGCACCTGATTTCTAAAAGGTACTAAAGCCTCCTCAGGTCTTTTTGTTGTCTCTTGCAGTTCATGTATTAAGATGACAAAAGGCTGGCTACATCAATATTAGCTCTTAAGTTCAGGAGCTGAGATTCAGTTGCTTCTCTTAGAACTCTTTCCAGAAGTATTCAGGTGCAGTAAAAAAAAAAAAATAACAGTACAGCCACTTCTGCTGGACTGCTCAGTATCACAAGGGCATGAAGTGAACACCCAAAGTCGTAAGGGAGGAGCAAAGTGACTGCAGGTGTTCAGATAAACACACCAAACCTCAGCTGACTTATTGTACATTTGAGCATGCAGTCTATTGAATCTGTGTTATGCGTTAAAGATCCCCTGCATCTGTCCTGCATTTCCCCTCACTGGTTTCATTTTTTTTTTTCTTTAACATAAGACAATATGGAATTATTTAAAGAAAGCAGCTACACTTTCTGTGTTGTACTCTGAAATGAAACCAGAACAGCACTGCTCAGTATGGAAAAAAAGGTATCTTAAGCTTTCACAGAAAGACTTCCTATCTGTGAATCATCAGCTAAAAGTGCAAGTATGATTTCCATTCTAAAGCAGCTGGACTGTGGGGCTCCAAGCAGCAATCAGTGGGTGGAGCTCCACTGGCTTGCACACTGAGAAAGCACTGGTTGGGTCCAGCTCTTCTTTCCAGCCTAGGGTTTTAGAACCTTTTAACCACACTAAGAGAGAAACAACAACGACCGCCAACCATCCCAGTATTCCACTATTTGACTCTGGATGTGTCCTTAATTTCCACTCCTGGTTATTTTGTTTTTCTTTAATGACTTAAAAAAAGTTATTTACACTGTTCAGCCCTTCCCACAAGTACATTTTTCCATTGTATTTCTGACACACTGCAACTTAGTTTGGAGCTGGGACAGCTCTTTTCCTCACTTTCTCTATCTGATCAGTATTCAGTACTAAATCTGAGCATATTTAGTCACTGAATCATAAGTGGCACACATACAATGTTCAGCTGGGAAGTTTAGGAAATCCAAAAGGAAAAGAATCCCAGAAAACAATACAGTGTTCTTGGTGAAGGTGCTGGGTTTCGAAAAAAGCACATCTGCCTGGGGAGCAACAGAGAGCTCAGCTCAGCTTCTGAGCAGCACTACAATATGTTGTCAGAGTGCGTGGTGAATTGTACAACTCTGTCTTGCATTCATGTTATTACCAAAAGAACAAATCACACAGGAACAGAGAATTGCAGGGGTCGGAAAGGACCTCAGGAGATCCTTCAGTCCAACCCCCCTGCTAAAACAGGGTCCCTGCAGTAGCTCACACCAGGAAGCATATGGATGGATCCTGAATATCTCCAGAGCAGGAGATTCCACAACCTCTCAGGGCAACCTGTATTTTTCTTAAAGGCATCTCAGGTTCAGAAAAGCCTTCTGAAAACACGGTATGTAAAGAAGTAGGCATCTGCTAGCGTTAGTACCTTATACCTTAAGGAGAGGGTTTCTGCTTCAGGTGGGAACAATCACCATAAGTCCAAGGAAGATCAGGCCAGGCTGGGGGGTGCCTCTTTGGGAAGTCTCTTGAAGACAATTTGCTTCCAACAGATTTCCTTTCACATTTATTGTTTAAAGTGAGGAAAGCACCTCCTCGAGACAATCCCCAAACACATACAGGGCAGTAAAAATGCAGAGTACCTTCTTGTTCTGCTTTAAGTAGTGATATCCCAGAGACAGCTTCTTGTAGGCCTCGCCATACTTCTCGTGCCAGCCCAGCACCGCCGCAATGGCCGCTTTCCTCAGCTTCTGGGCCACCTCCCGGGGCGGGGGAAGCGGCTGCTCGTGGTCCGTCCCCACCGTGAGCTCCAGGAACTCCTGGAAGTTGGAAACGAGCAGCGTGCGGAAGCGGTGAGAGCGGGAGAAGAGCTCCTGCACGATCTGGAAGGCGGAGAAGCGCATCTCGGCGTGCTCCTCGTGGAGCCTGGTCAGCAGCAGGTGGTACGCGTGGCTCAGGTGCTCCTCCGACGACCTGAGGGAACGGTTAGGAGGGCAATCACCGCAGCTGTGCCACGCGCAGCGCTTTCAGCCACCGCCATCAATGAACTGAAGGGCGGCGGGCCCAGCTCCTCACCTGCATATTTTCTTCAGCTCCTTCAGCCGGCCCGGCTCCAGCTGCGGCTCCCCCGCCGTGGTCAGCTCCTCCACCAGCTCGGCCAGCCGCAGGTCCATCTCTACACCGGAGCGGCAGGGCTCCCTCCTTCCCTCCTTCCCCGTCTCGGCGTCGCTGACGTCATCATCGCGCGCTGCGCACGCGTGACGTCACGCTGCCTGCAAGGGCGGGAGGGAGTTCTTAAAGGGGCCGAGCCCGGGTGTTTTGTGTGTGTGCAGCCTGAGGGCTGTTCAACAGTGTGGAAGAGAAATGAACCATAGAATCGTAGAATCTCTGAGGCTGGAAAAGACCCACAGGAGCACCCAGTCCAACCACCCACCTGTCACCAATCACTAAACCATGTCGCTCCACACAAAATCCAAACGTTCCTTGAAAGCCTCCAGGGTCGGTGACTCCACCACCTCCCCGTGCAGCCCGTTCCACTGCCTGACCACTCTTCCAGAAACGCAGTATTTCCTAACGTCCAGCCTGAATCTCCCCTGACATCAAACGATGTCTTGGCATGCTCACTGACATCAGCGCGTGCCCCTCCTGAGGCACTGCTGCTCTGGTTGCCCACATCCCAAACCCGTGAGAGGTGACACAGCTCTGAACCCACAGTCCTGCCTTGTGCCCACCCCGTGTAACGTGCTGGGTGTGACCAAGGGGCTAATTGCAGTGTGAACTGCTGCTGTTCCTTGTGCCTAGGGTTGGAAGAGACCCTAAGGGCATCAGCCTCCAGATGTGGCACCAGACCAGGCTGCCCAGGGCCCCATCCAACCTGGCCTTGAAAGCTCTCCTCACAGGAGAGCTGCTCGAGCCCTCTGATCATCTCAGTGCCCTCCTCTGGACCCGCTCCCAGAGCTCCACGTCCTCCCTGTACTGGGGCTCCAGACCTGGACAAAGTACTGTAGAAGGGGCCTCACAAGGGCAGAATAGAGGAGGACAATCACCTCCCTGTCTCTGCTGGCCACCCCTCTTCTGATGGAGCCCCGGTTACCACTGGCCCTCCAAGGTGCAATGAGCTCCATGTAGAAGGCAACAAGAAGTGTAGGAGGAACAGCACGGCATTCTGGTTTTAAATACCAGGTTTTGCGTGGCCTTCTGCCTTTGAGGCCTTCAGAACTTCAGCCTCTCCTCTCTGTTGCCTTCCTGAAGCAAAACGAGGGGTAAATAAAGCAAAGGAGGCAGGAAAGCAGCCCTCAGTCATGGCACCGACTTTGCAGCTCTCGAACAGGAGGATGTCTGTGGAGTATTTCATAGGTAAAGACTAGCAAAAGGGTACTCCCAAACAGAAGCAAGCTATTCCCTGAAGGGTGAATAAAGCTCATCTGCAGGACTTTCATGGCAAGAATTACAGCAGAACTGTACTTAAGTGACATTTTCCTCTATAGAAGCTCAGAGCTTGACAAACACTGCAAGTAATCCACTGACATATGGGGATAGAGATGAATGCACCTGTTGTATAAAATAATTATAATGCAGATGAACAAACTGCTCTGTTCTCAGATGAGCTGAGCTTGGCAGAGTGCACAGGCACTTGCTGTCACTAAAAATCAGTATCTCCTTAGTGAATTTTTACAGTGATCTGTCAGGTCTACCTGATATTGCAGCAGCAAAAAGCTCCTGTGAGCTCTTGAATTTCTATCCACACGAGTTCCCCAACTTGTAAACAGGGTGCAAATGTCAAAATTTCTCCCAGCCAGAATTCTAGCCTGCAAAATCTGTGCTGCCCCTCTATGGGCTATGAAGAATGTCCCAAATAGGGTGAGGTTAGAAAATACTCTGGAATGAGTTGATTTCAAAGGAAAAAAGAAAAAAGCCTGAAAAATTCATCTGTAATACTCACCAAATTCCTCTTATAATTATGTCCTATGTTTTTCTCCTCTTAACAGCTAGAGATGCCAAATGGGATTTAAAAACTCAGAGTACCAGAAACTTTGCTTTGAACTAGGGAGCAAATTTAATCCCAGTCACTGAGTGAGGGAAGACAATGAAGCTCTTGATGCACATTACTGCATTACTACTGCTTGCAGTTCCACCAAAGCACCCCAAGTCTCTAGACCACAAACACCAGCATCACAATGCAGTCCAAACCTCTCATACTTCGTGCAAAAGACTTGTGTACAAGCAGCCCTTCCTATGTGACATTTGTCTTTTCCCATCTGGCAGGTGCCCTGCTGCACTTCAGAGTGACCAAAAGTAATGAACTCATATTTTCAAACATATTTATTGCACCATATGCATGCATACATTTTGCAATGGTTCTTTTATATCTGACTTGATTAATGAGACCATCTTACTTTATAATGTTTCTTCTTCCTTGTTGGCTTCTATCTAGTAAACTGCACATCCTACATTTGCATGAGAAAACCACATACAGCAGCATAGTTCATCTTTAAAGTTTAGATGTTTACTCTTTCAATATTTCTTATTTTTCTATTTCTTTTCTTTATTTGATTGAAAGTGCCTAAACAACAGCTTTCTATTAGGCTACTGCTTGCAACAATACCATTGCTTTAATGTCTAGAAACAGCATTTCAAAATGAGCCTCGAGCAACGTGCTCAACATCTACAAAGCCACCAATTCATATCCTTGCAGAATGTTTAAAGAAATCCCTGCGAGGAGCCATATGGTTTTGCAGAGAATTAGTTGATGAATGAACGCTGAGTTGTGTAACTCATCCACAGTTGTCCCTCAGGCAAATCTCAGTGACAGCTAAGCTGTTTAATTAAAAAAAAAAAACAAAACTCAGACAATTACATAAAATGGTGTTTGCTCAAGTTGCTGAGTTTCTTTCCCCTTCTGCTTTCTAATGAGCGTGGTAAATATCCACTGTTCAAATATTTCTCTAATTCCTTCATCTGGACCAATCTGATAAAGGGCTGAGGGGACTCAGACTGTGAAGAGTCATTTGGCTGCAGAAATGCTTTGTGTCACTCAGGCTGGTTGTGGATTCAGGAAGCCCAATGTCTTTGGCCAAATGCACAGACAAGGAAATACAGTGCCCAAAGAGAAAAGGCAGAATTTTGTCCTTTAAGCCAATCATTTGGGTGTGGTGTTCTTACATTACAGAAGAACCAGCTGTTCCCAAATTTAAAATGTCACACTGGGAGCTCCAGGAAGGATTGTTTCAAGCTTACATGCATTGTCACATTTTCAGGTGTAGTGATTTTATAAAAGAAATACCCAGGTAAGAGAATGCTCCATCATGTTATTAGATGATTCTTGGCCTGTGGTTGTTTTCAGCTTTGCAATAAAAGAGCACGTCAGGCAGAAAGAAACCCCACAGAACTTTAGAATAGCTGTATTCAGCTTAATGATATGAAATTAAAAAGGAGGGTTTATCTTCCTGCCAAAATGGAACTTTGGCAAAAAAGCTTCCTCACAAACAATCTTGAGTTAAAATAACTTTGGTTCCAGGCCTGAAGATGCAGAAACATGATAAACACTGATATTAAGTTGTCACAGAGTTTGTGTCAGTTGGGTTGCAAAGAAAATACTGACCTTCTGTGTGAGGTGAATAGATACTTAAATACCAATTTGATTCAGCAACAGGATGACAGTTATCTGAGAGCCCTGAAATACCTCATACGGGGTAAGGACTGCACTTAAACAGATGTTCTCAAAGAAAAAATAGTCTATTCATTAAACCATCAATAATGCAAGGCCAAAGATACTTGGCAACCTCCTCTAATTATGTGAAATATTGATGCTGACAACACTGCAGCCTGCTGTAACATTTTATAATTCTGTCACAGGAGGAGATGGATGAACCTGTTCTGTATGGGTTGGGTCACTAATTAAATAACCATTTGTAGGTTGGATGGGGCAGGAATAGCTGCAAGGGAACCAGCACAAATCAAGGAGCTTCTATCTACTTTTGTCTAGGATAGTTTTTTAAAATGATCCTACAGCATTGCCTCAAATCTTCAGGCCAGCATCAGAAGACTGCTTTTGATTCTGTGAAAAGGTCTAATTGGAACACAAGGAGAAAGGCAAGTAGTGGCCCCAAGGCAGCGGGCATTTTTCAGGGCTAGACAGGTCCATATCGTACGTCGAGATTTCTGTTTGAATGTACCTAAAGAAGAGAAAAAAAAAGTCCCATTGCATTGCAGGCGTATCCTTAGGGTTGTTTGTTTGTTTGTTTGTTTGGAATGGCAGCTTTCCAGGCAAGACTTGGATCGCATGGTTCAAGAAAGGAGGAGAGTGAAGGCTGTCAGTGTGTAGAAAAGAAGGAAGAGAAGAATCCAATATCATGAGAGAGCAAAAGAGGAAATCCAGCCCAAATTCGGCTTGAAGACCCCTACTGCTAAATTGTAAAGTGACAGAAATACCACTTTCACACAAATACAAGTGTGGTACAAGTAGGACTGCTTTCAAACACAGAATGTTAGCAGAAATTTCTCAAACAACTTAGGCCTAGGAAGCAAATAAACTCATTGTAGCCATATGAAAGCGTCTACATCAGATATCTAAGAAATTCATCCTTTGGAAGTGAGCTGTGTTGTTAAATTCCATAATCTGAGCTCCCAAGTGTCTGGGAAAATTTGCCCTCTCTCCACGCAGCACCAGGGACGTGTCCATCGCCTTTTATGAGAAGAAAACCACATGGATCAAAACAAGTCTTTTTGGGGAAATGCTCTTACTGTAATAATAAAGAACACTTTGTCCTTGTGAAGAGATTATTTATATGGGTCAGCTTATGCAAACATAAGGAAAGTCCCTGGTTTGAGATCTTGAGGTTGCTGGGACAAAAACAGATTGCAAAGAGCACGTGTCATGAGAGAAAGAAATACTGAGGTGGTGCTAAAAGGAAGAGGGAAGAATCATGAAGAAAAGGCAGCAAGGCTTGTGAGCTGGCTGAATTCTTCCATGCCAAAAAAAAATATGGCACTCGTTGACATTCACTGATTCTTGCTGAATGTCTATGGAGACTGAATGGTAGATTTCAGCACGGTGAGGTGGTGGTGGATGGTTTGTTTCAGCTGTGCTGACAGGGATGTGAAAGACAAGTCACATTATGAACAGCCATGCAGTTTTTTACGAGCATGGCATGCAGGCTCTTGTTCATTGCTGGTGGAAATGCATAGCTAATGGAGGTGACTATATTGAAAAATCACGTTTTGTAGCTGAGA